ACCGGATTACCTGCGAATCCGCCTCCAAGATACAATGAAACCCAGCCTAAAGACTGATGTTTGACTGCATTATGCACAAACGAAATTAGATCTCGAATACTTTTGGATTTTTCTAATCCACAAGTATATAGGGAAATTACAATATGAATGTTACAGAGAAATTCCATAGATTTCATATGAATGATTTCTATCCAATTTTCAACCCATTTCGCCTTTATATAGGCATGGGTTTGTATCCCTTAGACCAAAGGTCGTGTCCTTTAAATTCAAAAGTGGCACCCTTTTAATCCAAGAGTCATGTGTAAACATAAATTTCAGAACATAAACCTTACACTTTGGATCATTTACCATGTGTATTATCAAGAAATCAAGACAAAATGACATACCTGAATCCATTGATGAACGGTTAAATGGAAGCGTGATTATCAATGAACTCTTTGTTATTGATTATGTTATTGCCTTCTAATCCTTTCCCCTTTGGTGCCTTATGTTTCTCTTTGAGAGGATTTAGGAAAAAAATGGCAGTGTTCTTATTTTTCCACCTAGGAAGGAATAGGGACCATAACCTTTTAAAGGTTGTAATTGGTTTTCAAAACTGAAAGGTTGTGGAAGTTCAAAAGGAATGAAAACCAACTTTAACCAATATGTTTTAATTTCTATTTCTGCCCCTCATAGAAATAGAAATTATACAACTAGTATCTACACATTAGATCCATAACACATATACCCTTAAGCCTATTAACTAAATTGAATCACTTAAATTGTAAGCTTCTTATAAATGATAACACCACATTTAATTATGTAGTCCCATTGAGACATTATCTAACAGAAAAATGATCTGTGAGCACCCCCAGCCACCGTTAGAAAAATGTTTCTCCCCCAAACACCATAGCTGCGTGATAAGTAAAAATCTAGAGAACCACTCTTATCTATTGAGAAAAATTTGGGATTATATGATGGAAAATAATTTTTTTAGTATGGAATCTATGTGAGGTCCATGTAAAATGTGGTGGAAATTAATTTATAAGTAATTTCTAAATTGATAAGGGTGGATTTGTAGTATTCGTGTGATAAATAAGTGGAAACAAACGGCCAAAAAATAATTCGGCACATTAGTGGCTAGCTCATGCCAGAGCAAGGTATTCTAATTGGTAAGGATGATCATAGATTCGTCCAATCTGTCCAACCCGATTAAACTGACCCAACCTAATTGATTTTGGGCGGATGCGTATTTTTTGATGGATGAATACGGATGAAATATTTTAAAATTCGTAAATACGATTTGGATGATGGATCTACTATCTCGCATCTACATGAATCCGATCCGCCCAGGGCCCGCCCTGAGATTTAGGGGGCCTAAGGCAAATTTTGAAAATTGGGGCCCCTCTTACATTGAAAAAAAAGGGTTCACGGATAAAACGATAAGTTACAACTTTTTTATTTGTCTGTAGTCACAAAAAAATTTACTTGCACAAATAATTATTAAAATTATAAACAAAACAATTTAATGAAACAAAATTAGGGCAAAAAAATTAAGAAAAAATCATTAAAATTATATTTTTATTTTAATAAATATGGGCCAAACTACACTTATAAATAAATATAGGATAAACCATATATGGAGCCAACAAAATATTTTGGGGCCCTTTAAATAGATCCTTAAAAAAAAAAAGGGAAATTACCCATAGGTCCCATGTGGAACATGTGGACACCATTTAATCCCACAACTTTTTGAGTACACCCAAAAGTCCTTTCCCCTCTCTCTCTGCTTTTTGCTTCCCTCTTTACGCCTCCTCCTCTAACCCTAATCTCAGTCCTAAAGTCAAACAAGAAGGCGATGAAGAACAAGAACAAGAAGACGATGAAGAACAAGAACAAGAAGACGCTCATCCTCAGATCTGTACTTAGATTGAACAGATTTGTGTATATATCTTTGTCAATTTCTCTCTCTTTCTCTCTCTATTTACAGATTTTTTTTGGGATAGTTGTTGATCTATGGTTGTTGTTGTTGATGATGAAATAGATCTATAATATCATTGAAACAGATCTGTAATGACTCAGATTTGTACAGATATCACACAGATTTGTAATGAGAAAATTTTCAAATTCTGAACAAGTAATTTTCGAGTTTTAGTTACAGACGGTGAAAACTGTAAAATTTTGCAGTTTCAAATTTTTTTTTTGGTACTGATGATGTTCATCATCTATATATATATAAATACTCTGCCCACCGAATCATTTTACAATTCCAGAAAACAGATTGCCATTTTCACAGAACAAAACAGAGAAAAACAGAATTTATATTCATAAAAAAATTCAGAATCTGATTCCAAGAAACTAAATAGAATGAATAAAGCATATCAATTCTGATAAGACACATGATATGCAGGCTCTGATACCAATTGTTAACATAAATTTCAGAACATAAACCTTACACTTTGGATCATTTACCATGTGTATTATCAAGAAATCAAGACAAAATGACATACCTGAATCCATTGATGAACGGTTAAACGGAAGCGTGATTATCAATGAACTCTTTGTTATTGATTATGTTATTGCCTTCTAATCCTTTCCCCTTTGGTGCCTTATGTTTCTCCTTGAGAGGATTTAGGAAAAAAATGGCAGTGTTCTTATTTTTCCACCTGGGAAGGAATAGTGACCATAACCTTTTAAAGGTTGTAATTGGTTTTCAAAACTGAAAGGTTGTGGAAGTCCAAAAGGAATGAAAACCAACTTTAACCAATATGTTTTAATTTATATTTCTGCCCCTCATAGAAATAGAAATTATACAACTAGTATCTACACATTAGGTCCATAACACATATACCCTTAAGCCTATTAACTAAATTGAATCACTTAAATTGTAGGCTTCTTATAAATGATAACACCACATTTAATTATGTGGTCCCATTGAGACATTATCTAACATCATGTTTTTTAGTTTAAATCTAATAGTTACACCCCATGATTTAAATCCAAAAGACACACATTTTGTTTAAACTCAATGGTTACACCATTTGGTTTAAATCCAAAAGTCACATCTCTTTAATCATTCATATAACTATATTATATATTTAAATATATATAAATATATTGTAAAAATATTCCAACAGTTATTTGACTGGGTCCAATTGTAATTTGACTCGAAGTATATAATATGGGTTTGGCTGAAACAATTAACAGGTGGAAACAAAGCGAAATTTGGTGTTAAAAATAATAATAATAATAATAAATTATGTATGTCATAGCCGATTAAGTGAGTCTTCATCTACACGAAGATGAGGCTATTAATTAAATAGATATTCTAATGCATCGGTTGTCATCTTCAGTTTGAGCTCACAATGTATAAAAAGAAAATGAAAAACAGTTAGGGTCGGTTTGTTTCAACGTATGTAAAATGATTTTGTACGATTTATTTTTTATTTTTTTGATATGTGGCTGAAACTAAAAATATTTTTTAGAACAATTTTTTTAACAATGAACTGATGGTAGGTTTGAATCACTCCATCATAACATTATTTGTCTGATCAACATTATTTTATAATTTATTTATTTTATTCTTCAAACCATGTAGAATTATTATTAAATGAGTACACAATCAACATAAATTTTACAAAGACAAAATAATATTATTATTAAATGGGCACACAATCAATATAAAATTTTACAAAGACGAAATAATTATGCAATTAAGTAGGTCCCAAAATGACAATCTCCTACATAATGATTGGTAGAAATTGGATTGGTACATATAAAAGTTCAGAATTTTAGCCCTAGAGCAAACAGAGTAGAGAGGTCAAGTAACATTTACTGAAATAAGGAGAAAATAAAATAATTTAATAATTTTGTAAACATAAGAAAAATGATTAATCCACACAATTTTTTCTCCCAAATCCCCCCCCCCCTCGGAATGTGTTTCTTACCAGTAAATAAATGATTATGACCAGTAAGAAATCATTTTCTTATGATTTCTTACTGGTCAGAAATATATTCGGAGGGAATTCAGGGGCAAAAATTGTGTGGATGTAGCATTGTTGTAAACGTAATTCATTTTTTGCCTTATAACCAAAATTATTTTACTTACTTTTTTGGCCAATTAAAAAATATTTTTGAGGAGTTTTTTTTATGCGAAACAAACAGACATTAATCATTAAAAAAAATAAAAAATAGAAAAGAAAGTAGAACAATCTCTTCAATAGTGAATTTCATTGATTGATAATATTTTCTGTTATTGATTATATAGTTGATTTGATTACATTATGTCCATTGACTGAAGAAAAATATTGTACATAAATGAATTTTTTACATAATTATCTTACCACTAATTAGAGTGACAGTTTGGATCTATTATTTTTATGTTTAGTGATATGAAAATTGATCAAGAAATCCGTTCAATTATAAAATTACTTGTAACAAAAATTAAAAAATAGAATGAAAAAACTCCAAGTTGATGACTTTGCGCATTCATTCTATGACATTATAGTCTTCCATATACCATCAGGTCTAATTTAAATATCATATGGATCATATCATTATATTTCAATTCATCAGAACTATTTAGATCAATGATTTGAGATGCTTAACTAAGATAATGATGCACTTTCTTCCCAAGCTTTGGGTGCCAACATATTGGGATGCTTAGATAAGATAGTGAAGCACCTTCTTCCCAAGCTTTGTATCTTTTAGTACATAATATAATATCAATTGCTTGCTTGCCGCTCAAAAAAATAAAAAAATAAAAAAAATGATTTGAGAAGAAAATTAGCATTCATTGTTTTTTTAATCCTTTTTCTTTCTCTTTACAAATCTACACTTAAATCCTTAATTCAAACAAACTATAAGAGTATGTTTGAATTATGAATTTAAATAGAGATTTGAAAAAGATATCCAAATTCATAACTTAAACACAGTGAATTTTTTTTTTTGTTATCTAAATTCATAATTCAAATATAATGTAAGAGATGAATGTTAGCTAGAGAAAAACATGAGAGATACAATTGAATGACTTCCAAAAAAAAGTTAGGTCAACAACAAAGAAATGTCCATGCTATCAAGACCACACTAACACAATACATTACTTTCATATACGATGTGCTTAAAGATAACTTTATACTCTTCCTCACTTCAAAGTACTACATATAGATCCACACACATATACAGATAACACATATCCAAGTTTCAAAAACAAGAGCATTAAGCCAAGAAAACAGCAAAAATCTCCTCCATGAGAGAGAGAGAGGACTGATCTTCTAAGCTTTGACACTAAGAAGATTGATGACATTGTGGAGAGAATGGAGAAGGAGAGCAAAGTAAATTATGGTGGCAATGATGCCGGAAATGATAGCTCCAGAGGCATGGTCACAAAACTTTGGGACTTGGCCACAAATTGGTAGCCAACCAGCATGGATGTTCCCTTTCCTCCCCACATAGCCTATTGCTGCAGCTGCTGATATGCTTGAATCTAGTAATGCCATTATAACCTAAACCCAAAAAAAAAAAAAAAATAAATAAATAATAATAATAATAATGATAATAATAGATCAAGAGACAAGAGTATCAATTTCAATTTTCAACTATCACTCATTAATTATTACATACATATGTGTATGTATTGTTAGAATTTTTAATGTTGTGGACCAATTAATGTATCCTTTTTGTTCCTAGTCTCCATGTGAAAAATGGAATTGGTAGTTGCTTAGTCCCATAGGCCTGTTTGATTCCAGAATATAAAATGTGGGATTGGATATTATATCCTATGGAGTCTACATATCCCATGTTTACAATTTTTTTTCAAAAAAGATATAATATCCCATGGGATTGTATATCCCCCAAAAGTGGAGGATATACAATACCACCATCCCCCCATTATATCATATCCCCTTGGTTGGGATCTAATGCACTAATGCATTAAAAAAATAAAAAAAATAAAAAAAAATTACAACTTCAAGACCAAAACATCACATCATTCATGACGGGACCCACTGCCACCTAATTAGTGGGAGCACTAATTAGTGCTCCCAACCATTTTTCTAGATATTATATCCTATGGAGTCTACATATCCCATGTTTACAATTTTTTTTCAAAAAAGATATAATATCCCATGGGATCGTATATCCCCCAAAAGTGGAAGATATACAATACCACCATCCCCCCATTATATCATATCCCCTTGGTTGGGATATGATTTAAAAAATTCAATTTACCCTTTTATCTATCTAACATAATATAATTTAATATATTTTTTGAATTTAATATAATATAATTATTATAATATAATATTATTGAATTTAATTTAATATAATATAATTTAATATAAATTTTGAATTTAATTTAATATAATATAATATAATATTATGAGGGCAATCTTGGAAATTACTTGTTTATATCTCACAATATATTTTGTAAAACAAACATGGATAACATATATCTAATCTTATATATCAAGTCAACAAACATGAATTGGAGGATATATTATCTAATACCTATATTTTATTCATTATATATCCTGACTAAATCTCACATCATATTATATCCTCTATTTTATATCCAGTAAAACAAACAGGACCATAAAGTGTATAGGTGACCTCACTAAATGGTTAGTGATGTTACCTTACCCAAAATATAGTTTATATATTTAGATCTCGTTTGCCAAGTGAATTTTTTAACTAAAAAATTATTTAAAAAATCAAAAATTCAATTACTTAATATTAAAAAGTCAAATATTCTCTTTTTTTTTTAATTTTTACACATCATTTCGTAAAAAATTAAAAAATCATTTTAAACATATTAATTTTTTTATATTATATTTTAACTAAAAAATTAAAATATTACTAAAAAGACTTATTTCCAAACGAAGTCCAAGTATACTCTTTAAAATGTGAGGAATGGGAGCCATTAAACAGTGGGGTAACAAATAGTGCAGATAGAGACTAATGACACCTTTCATCCTTGCATTTAGTGAGGCTTCAACTCCTGGGAAGTGCCAACAAGCGGTGCAGATAGCGACTAATGAAACTCTTTCGTCGTACCTTGCATTTGGCAAGGTTTGAATTCTCGGGAAGTGCCATTGGACTACAAGCCGTCAACTATAATGCATCTTAGGCTTCGTTTGACAACAGATCGATTTAGTTAAAAAATTAAAAAATTATTTAAAAAGTTAAGAAGTTAATTTTTTTTTTTACTTGTTACACATCTTTTAATAAAAAGTCAAAAAGTCATTTCAAACATACTAATTTTTTATAACTCATATTTTAGCTAAATAATCAAAAAATTACTAAATTAGCCTATTCCCAAACGAGGCCTTAGTTACACTTTTTTCTAGAAAGCAGTGTGTGCCTAGTCCGAGATCAGACTGGATGGTGTTGTTGGGTCCGTGGGGGCCTACCACGGGTCCCGTTTTGATAATTCAAACGGTCAATGTGTAGAACTCGTCGAGTATTATATGTCTGTAAAAAATTCTGTTAATCGGATATCGATAGTTATATAATCAAAGCAGTTTTTTATCAACCGTTAATTTATTCACCGTCTATTTTTTTCGATACAAAACTAATTTGATCACATAACTATCGATATCTGATCAACGTAATTTTTACAGGCATATAATATTCGACGAGTTCTACACATTGGACAATTTGAACTATCAAAATGGAACCCATAGTGAGTCCCTACGGGCCTAACAGCACTGTCCAGTCCGAGATCGGACTGGACTCAAGCTAAACCATTTTTCTATAGAGTAAGATAAAAAAGACGGAGAATGGTGATTTCACTATCACTTAAATGACTCTTATGAATAATTGTGTATTTTGTGATGGTTATATCTCAAACAACAAGCTTCTCAACGGTTTTCAAAGCAACTATGTTGACTATAGGTGAAAAATACACCATGTTTTGAAGACCAAAAATAAGTAGTTGGTTTTCATGCTTCAAAAGTCATATTCGATTCGATCTTTTGTTTCTACAATTGTACACTCAATGAAACATGTAGGGTACATTTGATTAGAGTGAAAAACATGACGGAAAGTGTCATAAAATTGAAGCAAAATTTTAAAAACAAATAAATACATTGTTTTCTTTTAAATATTTAGTTAAGATGAAATTTTTATGAACAAATTATAGAAAATTAAGAAGTAAGATAACAACAGAAAAAAAATTAATAATAATTTTTTTTTACAAGAAATTTAAAGTCAAACTATCATGCTTATTAAAGATTATACAAGAAATTTAACTTTCTTACAATTTCCATAAAATAAAATTTTAAAAAAAATAATAATAATAAAAAAAAAAACCCCACACTTCACTGCACTTTTCACATCTTTCAAGAAAGAGAAATGTGTTCTTACCAAATCAGCAACCAACACAAAGCGCCAAAGTGAACATTTGGTTGGAAGAAAGAGAACTATGAGGCCATACCCACTGGCAATTGCGTTAATCACCACAAAATACCTGTATCCAAGGTGTCACAAATCAAGAATGAGAACAAGAATCAAAAGAGATTGAATACATTGATGATATGTATCATGAAGTTAGCTCGTATGGTAAGTCTCCAGAAAAACAATCCAAAAGTCTTAGATGAGACTAATGAATGGTCGCACATATTCAGAGTTTTACTCCGAGTCTCCCTGAAGAGAGTAATTTTTCACGTAACAATAAGGAGATCTTAGGCTCGAGTCCATACTTCACCCGATATCTGAGACCAGTGAGTGGTCGCACATATCTCGGGTTTAACCAGTTTTGTTAAAAGTAGGATCAAAAGTTCCTCATGATCAATAAATATATGTATGTATAAATGACAGAGATTAAGACAATGAAACTTACTTGAGTGAGGGTGAGTCGCTATACTTTGCCCCAAAGGTTATGTTCAATACTGTAGCAGAGTCATGGCTTGTGACCATGACAACAGTGGCAGTAATGGTTGCACCCAAGGCTATGAGCCTTAGCACAAAGGCTGGGATCCTCTTGGCCATAGACATTTAGGGTTAGTTTCAAAATGAGCAAGTGTGGTGAAAACTGGTTCTCAAGGAGGATAATGGAACTTTAAATGACAAAACAACAATATACATACATGAGTTGTGTGGAGAAGAAAGGGTATGGGGTAATAAGAAGAGGTAATAAGTTGGGGAGGCAGACAAGAGGGTGATGATCTTAAACTTGTCTTCTTTCCAATTTTTTAGGGTTACTTGTTTTCGGTTGACCACCAAGTGCATACATTTTGTGTGCCTAGTATTTCAAATGACACCATTTGTGACAAGTACTTGTACCTATCTTTGTTAGTGTAGCATGCTTGTTTAGAAAAATATACAAACGTGTATATATATATATATATTGTGTGCGCTGTTTTCTGATCACACTATTAACCAGATACTCAGCTGGAGAACACCGACAGAATAGATTGCGCCCGAACGATCTGTAACAGAAAGATGAGACTCTGGCGGTGGTTCTTCCACCCAGGGGCACTCCGACGATCAAGCCAATACTCAATCTTCTCTCAAATATAATAATTAGTGCTTAACTCACTAGTTAGAATACCAAAAAACGTACCTTAGACTCATGAGAGTGTCTTACTTTTATAGCCAGCATTGACCTGATCCATGTAGAAGCCTAGCTTCAATGGACTCTGGCTCAATGTTTATCCTGGACTCTCAAATATATAAAGATAAACTCCCAAATTGCTTTATCTTTATCCAGACTGAGGTCCTCCCCCATTCTAGGACTCTTATAACTTATTCGTTTATCCCAAACTTCGCCATCCCTGCAGATAATCTCGGCCTAGCCGAGATCATCTCGGCGTCATGACCAAGATACGTGGCACATCGGCTGGCACTTCGATGCCACCTTGGCTACGTATTGTTATTTAAAAAATATGTCCCCAAATATATATATATATATATATATTAAAGGCATTTTTTTTTCTTTATTTTTTAAAACAATAGATATATATATATATATATTGTGTGCGCTGTTTTCTGATCACACTATTAACCAGATACTCAGCTGGAGAACACCGATAGAATAGATTGCGCCCGAACGATCTGTAACAGAAAGATGAGACTCTGGCGGTGGTTCTTCCACCCAGGGGCACTCCGATAATCAAGCCAATACTCAATCATCTCTCAAATATAATAATTAGTGCTTAACTCACTAGTCAGAATACTAAAAAACGTACCTTAGACTCATGAGAGTGTCTTACTTTTATAGCCAGCATTGACCTGATCCATGTAGAAGCCTAGCTTCAATAGACTCTGGCTCAATGTTTATCCTGGACTCTCAAATATATAAAGATAAACTCCCAAATTGCTTTATCTTTATCCAGACTGAGGTCCTCCCCCATTCTAGGACTCTTATAACTTATTCGTTTATCCCAAACTCCGCCATCCCTGCAGATAATCTCGGCCTAGCCGAGATCATCTTGGCGTCATGACCAAGATACGTGGCACATCGGCTGGCACTTCGGTGCCACCTTGGCTACGTATTGTTATTCAAAAAATATGTCCCCAACTATATATATATATATGAAAAAAAGTATCTAAATTTTAATATATTTGGATCACATCCAATGTGGATTTTAATTGAAAGAGACCCAAAATTCAAATTTAATGATGGGGTAAGGAATTGGGTGTTAAGTGATTGATTTTTAAACTAATCAATAGTTAATACAAAGTTATTACTTGAAAAAATTGCTTTCGATTGTTTTTAAACAAGTTATCATTCCTTCCTTCCTTCACCCCTACCTCTTTCGGCCATTACTCACCTTCACTCCTCCTACCTCCAACAATTATCGCCAACGACCCTCTTTGGCCATCGCTATGGGGAACCACCTTTGTTGAGTCCCCTTCCACCTCGAACCATCACCTTCAAGCCGTTGGCCACCACCTCCAACTTGTCCCCTCTACCTTTGGCCATTACACCTAATTGACAGCCACGGCTTCTGGCAAGTTCCTCTCCACCTCCGATCCCCCAACCACTCCTTTACTTGTTTTCAAAATTAATTTAAAAAATGTGTATCAAATGTGTTTTTTTCTAATATTTTTTGTAGACATAAAAAAATTAAAATAGTAAAAAGAAAAAAAAAAAACTTCTGTTACATTGTTAAACACTTTAGGTTGTTGCATGAAAATTCCATGCCTCCATCCATTGTAAAAAAATCTTTGACTTTTATTTTTTAAAATGTTTTTATTATGTGGTGAAGTTTGCAATGGTCAGTTCAACTACTCCCCCAGTTGAATCAGGCACGGATCTTACACAAGTTTTAATTACTACTACAATTTTTATTATTTATCGCCTCTCCAAGAAAAGTGGACCTACACACTTACACATACACATTCATATACATAGAGAGAGAGAGAGAGAAGTAATGCCCTTTGGAGGGAGATTTGGGAGGGGTAGTTGAATGTCAATTTCTAGAGACAACCACACACGCAGAGACAGAGGTACTTCAAACAATGCTTAGTAAAAGCTAGCTGTTTTTTTTTCCTCTCTTACAGTCATTGTTGTTAAGTTATCGGTAATATTACAAATTTAGAATTATTTATTTATAATGTATTCAGAAATAAAAATTAATAATTTAAATTTATTTCACTCATAAACCTCATATTCTATCAATTTAATTTCTATCACACCTATACATTCTAAATAAATTCTGAAACCCTAATTCTGAGATCTCAAACTTTTCCTTCTCATTATAGTTCCCTACGATACATTTAGGTGTTACAATAATGCTTGCCAAGGTACCCTAAACAAGAGAGGAACCATAAAAATAAAATAAAATAAAAAGTATCCTAGGCCCCTTTTAGAATTGATTATTGTAGTTAATTTTTAAGTTTTTTACAAAAATACATACAAAATATAAAAAGAGTGATATAATGGGTGTTTTATTTTATTAGCTATTTTAGTTAGGAATCGACTATTTTAACCCATCCCAAACATTCAAAACTATGATAGTATCTATCTATCTATCTATCTACCTATATCTATCTATCTATACTATCTATATAACTAAATGTAGTTATTTTGTCAAAAGCCTCCAAATATTTATTCCTAAATTCTCATAATTTTAAAACACCCTCTTTCTTACATGGCAACCTTCTTTGATTGCCTTTCATGTTTTCTATTTTTTTTCATTTTTTATTTGTTTGATTAATTAAAATTAAAATTAATTTCATTATTTATGGATAAAGATTTGAATTTCAAAATTCGTCCATATAGATAAACATATAAAAACTGAAAATTAATTTTATAATCTACAGATAAAGATAAAAAATAAACAATTAATTTTAAAAAATTAATTTCATAACTTTTAGATAATTTAAAATTTCTTCCCATAAATAAACAAATAAAAGTTGATAAATAACTTATAAAAATTAATTTTATGGCTTACAAATAAAGATAAAGATTAAATAATTGATTTTTTTTTTTTAAAAAGAGCAAAATAACTCTCTTTCCCCCCCCTCATTTCATACTTTAATTAATTTCATTATAGATAAACATACAAAAATTCATAAATAATTTATAAAAATTTATTTTATGACCTATAGATAAAGATAAAAATTTTAAAAATTGTTTAAAAAAAATAATTTCATGACTTATAGATAAATAAACATATAAAAATTGATAAATAATTTATAAAGATTAATTTCATGACCTACAGATAAAGATAAAGATTAAATAATTTATTTTCAAAAAATTAAAATAATAAAATTTAGATAAAAATATGATTTGTTAATCTATATATCTATCAAAAACATATATATCTAAATCTTTATTTTGATTTGCTCATTTTTTTTTCCTATCACGTATTATCTTTTTTTTATTTTAAATTTTTTATCTTATGAAATGCTCTTATCTATAACTTCTTATCTCCTATTAAATTCTTAACCTTCTCTTGATAATTTTTATTATTCGTTATTATCTACCAAATGATAAAGATTATAAAAAAAATAAAAATAAAAATTATCGCTCTGAATGAGAATAGTATTAATAATGAAATTATAAAGGTTACATGGGAGAAGGTAGCACAAAAATCTCACAAAATTAATTTTCTTCACTATATTTATAAAAGGTAATAATTTGATATTCTTTCTATTAGTTATTAAAAATAATTTGCATTAGATCATTGTTTTGTTTTTTTTTAAATTTTTTTATAAGGCTGTCATTCGTTATAGTTTTTCTTCAATCCCATCTTTAAATTCTCTCTTTGAAATTTTTGCCTTTTCAATAATTAAGTTTAGAATTAATTTCTTATCAAATTTGTTTTCTTGATCCTTATTTTATTGAAGGATCGAAACGAACAAAACTTTCATATAATATATAAAATTAATGAATATAATACAAAGATGATAGGGAAGTACTACATATTTGTCAATATCTCTATGTTATTATTAATTGATTTGCTAGATTATATTGTCAATTTAGAGCCCATATGATTTAATTTAATGTTCATGACTCTATTTGTATTTAACTATTTTTTCGTTGAGTAACCGAAATAATTTTTTTTTTGGGTATATAATGATTAAAGTTATCATTTGTTATATTTTTTCAAGTACAATTCAAATAATTTTTTATCATTTTTTTATAAATAAAATGGATTAAAACCATTCTCTTATATAATTTTTATAATACTATGACATTCTTATTTTGATTAATTTTTTTAAAATGACGTAGGAACTATGCAAGTATTATTCAAACTATGGAGAATAATTTATACTTTGATATGATATGGGTGTGTCATTGATAGAGGAAATCAAAGATATGATGATGTACTGGCATAGTGGAGGGAGTGTTGTGCAAAGGGTTTGGCGTGTGCAAAGGGACGTCGCAAGTTCGAAACCTGTTGGGAGCAACGGAGGCGAAATTTTTTTTTTTTCTGAAAATACTTTCAGCGACTAAAGTGAATGGTCGCCAAAGGTATTAATAATAAAATAAAAATGAACTATTGGCGACTAAAAGTTTAGTCGGCAAAGGTATAATTTCCAATACAGAAATTGACTATTGGCGACGAAATATTTAGTCGCTGAAGACATATATATTGGCGACTAACAGTGTTTTAGTCGCCAAAGGCATTCGCGACCGTTTATTGGCGACAACACGGGCGACTAAACTTTTTTGTCGGGAAAAGTGAAATTTTGACATTTGGCGACTAAAATCGGACCTTTGGCGACTAAAAATTTAGTCGCCAA